AAGATTGCATCTAATAATATAGCTAATTCTTCTCTAGAGATTGCATCTAATAATAGAGCTGATTCTTCTTAGGATTTTTACCAATATCCTCAATTAAGCTTGGCTCTATCAGGTTCATTTCCAGAATCTCATCAAAATGGTTCCTAATGTACTTATCCATCAAGTCTTCTTGATAGAGGAAATTTCATTGATTTCAATATATTAAATTTCAATTTTTGGTCATTAACTCTCATGGTAAGCTCTCTTTTATGAACATTTATCATTGTCTTTCTAGTGACTAAGATTGGTCTATTTAGTGTGATAGAGAATTTTTTATCTTTATTCACGTCTAACATAATGAAATATGAAGAAAAATAAATTTATGTATATTCACAAAGATATATTTATAACCCCCTAGGATAAGTCACAAAACGGTCAACTACTGAAAGGTCACAGTGGTAGGTTGAATCTCCTAGTCCTAATCTTCTAAAAATGAAATGTGGCTTAAGGTTAATGTTTGCTCCTAGATCACACAAGACTTTTCAAAAAAAAATTCTCTTATAGTGCAAGGAATAGTAAATTTTTCTGGATTCTTAAATTTTTATGGAAGTTTTTTTAGGAATCATAACACTAAGCTTCAGTCAGGGGCAGTAGTCTCATAGTCACCTAATTTGAGTTTAAAAATATCTTTCATGAATTTTACATAACTAAATATTTGTTCTAAAGTTTTTGCAAATTGAATATTAGTTATTAGCTTTTTGAACACTTCTAAAAATCTAGAGAACTGTTGGTCCAACTTATATTTTTGAAGTTCGAAAAAATGTGGTGGTGGTCTCTTAAGTTCTCTCTTAGGAGGTGAGATTTTTTTTCTTAAGTCCGATGAATGGTTTATTAATAAGTCTCTCAGGCTCAAACTTTTCTATGATAGTCTCCTCCCGAATTACCTCCTCTAAGTCCTTTACACGTCTAAGTTTTTTGTCCTTACCTTGCACATTCTTTTCCTTTTTTGGATTTACTTTAGTATTACTTGGTAAAAGGTCCAGTGAGATTTAATACTTAATGAATCTGCTAATTGCCTCAATTAATTTTCAATATTCCTAATTATTACAGCTTGACTTTGCAATTGATTTTCCATTTGTACCACTAACTTTTTGAATGATATTTTTTTTCTCTTTAAATTGTGAATTAGAACCGAGTATAAGTGGGTGAGTCGCAGGTTTGCAAAATTATTTCGGTTTCCTAAAGGATTTTATTAGTTGTGGCCTCATTGATGATTTCTTATGTTTTGATTATTGTTCCAATTAAAGTTTGAGTGATTTTTTCAAGCAAAATTATAGGTGTTGGAGGTTGTTGCTCTAGTATATATGAAATTCTTGACTCCACAAATGCAACACTAGGATTTCCTAATTGTTTATACATACATACATACATATATATATATATACATACATACATATATATATACATACATACATACATATATATATATATACATACATACATATATATATACATCTTTCATTGAATTGAACCCTAAGTTATCTATCTTTTGAGATATGATAACTTTCCGTGAAGTCAAGATAGATAAAACATCTTGCTCATGAATACTCACCACTTTCCTGGGATGGAACTCTTTTAGAAGGCCATTGAACATTATTTACATTCATTTCTTCAATAAGTGCATAGGCCTCCTCAAAAAGTTTTGACATTAAATGCGCCTTTGCTGTAGGATCTATTGTTACTCTTAATGATCCCGCCAATTCATTATAAAAATTTTGTACAATCAATAAGTCTGGTAAGATGTGATGTGTGCATTTACTAAACAAGTTCTTAAATCTTTTACAGGCTTCATGTATTGACTCATTATCTATTTGAGTGAAAGAAGTAATATCATTCCTAAGCGTGACTATTTTGGAAGAGGAAAATATTTAGACATGAATTTCTATGTAATATTATTTCAAGTTGTAGTAAACCCTACCGTTAAAAGAATATAGCCACATCTTGGCCTTATCTCTAAGGAAAAAGAAATCAATCCAAGTCTAATAATGTCACTAGAGATATCGTTATTCTTAAAGGCTGCACAAAATTCTAGAAAGCTAGTTATATGCAAATTTGGGTCTTCTACTTGCTTTGGACAATTTGAATAATTGCAGTTTTTAGTTCAAATTTATTGGCTTGAATGGTAGGGTTATTGATGTTCTAATATATTTTTTCAGCCATATGGTTGGCAAAATCTCTAAGTGGTCTAAGTTGATTGTTTTCTTCCTATAAGTTTTTTCTTTCTCATAAAATCTTCTTAATTTTTTTAAGTTCTCCAATTTTTTTAGCATTTTTTTAATCTCACAGTCAAACGGAATAATTTCACACACGATTGAGTCCTACATATACATATTAAGACTTGCCGGTGACTCTAAACTAACAATCAAAATAGTGAAAACAAATTTTCAAAAGTAGTAAATATAGATTCAATAAATACAGTAAAACACAGTAACACAAAATAAATAAAATACTATTCAAAGAATTTGATTTTTTTTCAATAATAAACTACAACAATTCTCAACAATTTAACACAACAAACTAACATGTTGTAGAACTAATTAAATAAAAAATTTGTATAAATAAAACTACAATTTTTTATGCTAAATTTTATAATAATCCTTAGTATTAATCTAAATTAAAAAATTAACGCCGTTTCTCAACAACAATGCCAAACATTTATCTATCGTACAATGATGCACGTTAATCATATGAGTATACATGTCGATCAAATATTATTCAGATTTTTTAGTTCGAGTTATTGATCTCTCAAGGAACTTGATACTTTTTAAAAGTAGTGTAATTATAGTATACTAATCTTAAATTTTGTTTAAAAGAATTTGGATTTTAGGTTTTGGAATGAGTCTAAAATTCCTTGTTTTAAGTGTAAAGTTAAGGTAAAGTGAATGAGTTTTTTACTGGTTTGAAATTTCCCTTGAATTGTTTTAATGAAAACCTAAGTACATTTAAGTGATTATTTTATTGATGTTGACAATTGGGGTCCAATACTTATTTAAGTACATGCTTTCATTCTACTTTGACTCCTTGTGGTTGAACCATTTTTTCTTTCATTGACACCTTGTACCATGTCAATCATTCTTCAAACTCTTTTTTGGTTTTAATTTTTGTCCCAATTTTGATGCGTAGCAGCTAAAACTCTTTCGATCGTTGCAAACTCCCCCATTAATCTGTTTCCCCATTGGACTTGCCAAGCATTGAGAAATTTAGATATGGAGATTTTTCATAAGTTCTTAGTATTCTTCAGAATAGTGATAGTTGCTTCATATCTTTCGGATATTGTGACAATAATTTTTTCTACAGTTCTTACTCAGATCCAAGAAAAGATTCATTTTAGTTGCATTACTTAATGCATCTCTGAGTGCATTTTATTTGTCTTAGATTCCTTCATTGCTTAGAGTTTGAACTCTCGAATCAAATTCCATATCTTAAACTCTTTCATCTCCTGCATATTCTTGGTTAAGCCTTTCCCCAGTGTCATTTGTTAATTTTTGAGATGTGGTTCTCATAAAAAGTGTTGGCAAGACTGCTGCAAATAAACATAATTTTGCCTTCGATTTTTTTGTACTTTTCTCCTTTTGTGTCGTGAGCTTGCCATCATAGTTGGTGGAAGCAGCGTTACTTCACAGTATTCTTGAACAATCTCCCTTACATACAAAGCTGTTAAGTATGTCTGCATCACCGCTCAAATTTGATAATTTTCTCCATAAAGAGTTGGCGGAGCTATTGATGAGAAATTGGATTTACCTTCCTTCATTTTACTAAAATAAACTCGCATTTCTCACCATATATAAGTTTCAGTAGAATGAAAGAAAAGATTGATTTTAAATGCCGATAACACATAAGAAAAGAGAATGAGAACAGCATGGAGAATTATTCTTTAATTAGAAGCAGTGTTTTATTCAGTGTTGCGGGAATGAACAAGAAATGGGGGAAAAAAAAAAACTGCCATCATTTTCTTACACTTTTAAATGTGAAAATAATTTTGAAACCAACTCCAACTAATTATGAGTAATAATTGAAATTAAATAAATAATAAGGCACGTTAATTGCTGAACTTAATGCAAAATTTATACTATTTTAATTATTGTAAACAGTGCCTATGCTTAGGAGGTCTCCTTGTGTGCACAATTGACTCACAATTGGTTGAGTTCATATGTTGATTCAAACTTTGAATCCATTTGGCATGGCTGTCATTTATCGTGCTAATTAGCTATATTGTCATATCAAATTGATGATTGTTTGATAAAACTATGTTGGGATTGCCATCTAAATTGGTATAAGAGTCGTGTTTGTTTAATAAAAAATTTGCTTGGTGCTGATATGAGTTGGTTGAATGACTGGATTTAGTAGTATTATTAATTTTATACATATATAATATGATGTTTTTATTCTAAACACGGAGATATAGAGGACACTTAGCATGGATTTCATAAATAAATTAGTTAAAAAAATTGCATAGTGTAGCAAAGGCACACTCAATGTTATATTGTCTTTGTTGCATTTAAAGGCAAAAATTATAAAGTGGTGCATTGCTTTTAAATATTTTTCATGATTTGCATGTGACTATGTTTTTTCTTTCAGTTTGGAAAATAAAAAACCTCCGAAGTTCCTGTTTGTTTCAATTTAGGGGCATTTACGTACATAGCACACAATTCTTATGTATTTACATATCTCACACCTAAACTTTCATATTTACACATGGCAGCCAAATCTTTAATATCACATAAAAAATAACACTATTATCACTTTTTAAAAGTAAAATACATCTTTTCATGCCCATATTTAAAGCACCAACGTCTATATGAATATGAAAATTTACATGTGAGATACATAAATGCATAAGAATTGTGTGCTTGATATGCAAATTTCCCTTCAATTTATTATGTTTAGAACCTATTATGCTGATGTAAATATTCTCTTCCTAAACCATGCCTTAAAACTTATATGAAATTATAATGCCTCAGGTCAATTCTAGCTTACAACGTGACTTGCATAGATTCCCAGAGGAAATTATCCAGAAACCAAATGGCTTATATTTAAATAAAAGAGAAATAGGGAGCAAACCTCCATGCATTGAATGTCAGGCTAAGGGTGCAACCTTATGTGTCACTTGCTCAGGTTCAGGCTTATATGTTGACTCCATTCTCGAGAGTCAGGGAATTATTGTTAAAGTGAACTGTTTAGGTAAACATTTCATGATTTCATCATTTATTCACCATTATTATTATTCTAATTTTTAATATCCTAATTTTTATGAACTTCAGTCATTTTTAATGTTAAGTTGTTCGTTCTATTTAGCTCATCATATTTTCTTTATAATTCTTTCACTTTATTTATGTTTTGGGAGATTTACGTCCATACCGCCCAATTATTATCTATTGACATATCTCTCATTTGGACTTTATTATTTACTTATATAAGACTCAACTCTTTAGAATTATATTAAAAATATCATTAATACTAATTTTTTAAAAGATAAATGCAGCTTTTTATGCATGTATTTTGATTTGATTGTAGTGTTTTATATGTAAATATCAAGCTTTAGGTGTTAGGTATGTAAACGCAAAAGAGTTGTGTGGTTTACATGTAAATTCATGTTATATTTTTGCATCCTGTGCATTTTTTTCTCTTTTGTACATGCATGAATCATTTTAGTTTATTTCTTCAACCATATCTCACTTTAATATAGTAATTTCTCATTTTATCACTTCCCACCATTGCCCAATGCTATGTTTCATTTAGTATGATAGATCTAATTAGCTTTATTTAATTTTCCTTTTTTTAATAAATCTTCTGCGATGATTCTTCTTTTTCCCAACTCTCAAAGCAGACTTTTATCAATATATTTGTTATTTTATTGTTATGGTTGTCCAAAAATGTAAGTCTATCACATATAAGTTTTCACTAGCTAAACTTAGTCCTTAATATATTTGACTAATTCAATTCATCCAAATTTAATATCTTTGAGCCAATTCTATTAAAGGTAGCCTTTTTATAATTGTAACAATGCAGGTTGTGGAGGCAGTGGAAACATTTTGTGCTCAAAATGTGGTGGGAGAGGTCATGCTGGCTTTAATTAAGCTTTCTGGTTTTAGCTTACCTTCCTTTAATCTTTAAAATCTGTACCTAATGTTCAAATTCTGGCTTTTTATGTATTTGATCATTTAATATAACATTATTGATATTCATTTGATCAATATAGAAGAGCTTATATCACATCATTATAGAAATGTTGTATTGTAATTAATGGCTCTGTTTATACTTCAGATTATGAACTTTTTGCTGTAGTTTTGGAGTCAACTGGCAGCATGGGAAGCAAAAGAAGTATATGAGCTACATATGGTTAATTTTTGTATTTCTATTTATGATAAAGTATAGTGTTGCTACTTATATTTTACTGCATCTGCTTGCATTGTATATATATTTTTTTCCATATAAAATGTTGTGATATGCTTGGCTATAAACTTTGCACTCTTGGTGGTGAAGAATGAAGATAGAATAATATAAGTTTAGAGGGAATTGAAGAGAAGACAGCAGGTCACTCAAATTTGATTGCAATATTCCATAATTAAGGGTGTGTTTGGGGCTGCGGTGTGATGACGGTTCGGTACTGCATCGCAGTTTTTCTTATTTGACAAAATTTTGTTTTTCCTGCATTCTCAAAAAACTGCAGCTGAAAACAATTTTTTCCCATGAGACCTGACTACTTGCAGTGGCTACTTGAAAGCTACGGCCTGACTTAAAAAAAAAAAATTGTAATAGCCATCAATAATAGTTTCATCTTTAGCAGCTTCATGGCTACTTCTTCATTGTAATAGCCATCAATAACAGTTTCATCTTTAGCAGCTTCATGGCTACTTCTTCAAATAGATGAATCTGCCCCAAGCAGAGCCTAAATCAACAACACTAATAGATCTTAATAAAGTTCAAGTCTCAATTATTTATCTAAATTATGATCAGAGTACTTATCCGCAATAGTCATAATATCTAAAATTTAGTAAATTTATTGAACACTCACATTGCATCCTTTACTTCGAATAAAATCGACTCTCCTTTCAAGAGTTTGGAATGTGCTATGCATGATATGTAATCAATAATGTGAACATTATATAACTTTTATAAATAAAAATGAATTCAAGCTGATCTCAAGTCAGTTCTAGCCAATCCTTCCATGCCTCAAAATTTGCTAAAAAAAATTACAATGTATTGTTGTTGTCTACTTATTTTAAAGTGGAAAAATCGTAAAGGAACTTGTGTAGGAACATGAGTAATCGTAAAGGAACTTAATGTCTCCTGAATTACAACATTGACATGTGTAGGAACTTGTTACATGGAACGGGTGATGACCGATAGCGAATGACAGCAGTCAACAGTAGTCAATGTCGTTGACAGCAACATGAGTAATGTTGTACCGAACTATTTTGATCGAATTGTTAAAAAAGCTTCCTTTGATCATACGACATTTGATGGACATTTAAGTAGCTTAATGAAGTCGGAATTGTGTGATCTTAGACTCGTTTTCAGCTTCTTTTCAAAGCTTTAAGCTCTTCCTCAAGCCTCAAGCTCCCCCGTCCCCCTCAGAGGGTTGGGACTCTATTTATTGAGTTCAATGCGCAATTAATGCAGAAATGCGAATCACTTTGATCGGGCTGTTCAAAAAACTTCCATTGATCATATGACATTTGATGGAAGCACGCGAACTATTTTGATCGAATTGTTAAAAAAGCTTCCTTTGATCATACGACATTTGATGGACATTTAAGTAGCTTAATGAAGTCGGAATTGTGTGATCTTAGACTCGTTGGATTCTTCTTGTCAAGACATTCAATTTGGTTAAAGATTCACTAGATTTGACATACGTTTGTCCTTCCAAATATGCTAGGAAAGCTTCTAAAAGTGGTTTAATATTTTGATCTAGACTTGATTTGGTTCGAATTTGACCCATTTTGGTTTTAATGGGTCCGTCTTGTTGAACTGGCCAATTTGACTGTAAGTTTGCTGAAATCTGAGCTTTGGATGACTCATAATCGAAGTCTAAACATTTTTTTACTTAAAAGAATGCTTCGAGTTTCATGTCATGCCTTAAGATTCATGTTGAATAATGAATAATTGTTGGAGTTGTATAAATCACTTTCAATTAGTTATGTTATTAGTTGCATCTTGAGTGGTTTTTCTATTCCCTTTGAAACTTGAGTTGTCTCCTTTCTCCTTTACTTGTTCTCCAACTTATTAGGTAGGGAGGCAGTCAACATTCTATGATTCCATTTATGTGAAACTAAACTCATATTCAAGTGGCCCAAACACCTTGTTGTTTGTAAAAGAGTTCACATTACTTGTTCTCCAACTTATTAGGTAGAGAGGCAATCAACATTCTATGATTCCATTTATGGGAAACTAAACTCATATTCATGTCGCCCAAACACCTTGTTGTTTGTAAAAGAGTTCACATATGCTTTTCAAGTTTGAAGATACTTCGCCGCTCTTTTAAAAATTTCTTTCTCTCGATGAAAATCACCAATTTCACTCTTAAATTTGTTGTACCCTCTCTCTTATAAAGTTGCTCTTATTTACGAGCGTAGAAAAAACTAATAATAATATCATTCAAATATCTTCCAAATTAGATTGCATGAAGCTATTTAATTATATTTGATTAATACACACTAATGTACTATTTACACAATTTAAAAATAGAAAAAAATTAATGAAAAAAATGGAAATAATTAAATTGTGCATGTCGTTTGAACTGGATAATAAATATGTGTGTGTGTGTGTGTGTGTGTCGTGTATCCCAGCATATTAGTCGGCATTCACAATATAAGACCCTTCAGGTTGGGGGTTCGAATCCCTTCTAACATAGTTTGTCTTAAAGATGTGATACTCGAATTGTTAGGTACATTAGAGGTGGCTGAATGGTTGTATAATAACCACTTTCCATTATATATATATATATGAAAAAATATTTTGATATGAATTGGAAGGGTAATAGAAATGTATATATTTATATAATAACCAGTTAATAAACACTCTTAAGGGAGTTTCTAATAACAAATTTAAAGGAGGTTTAACTTAAATAAATCAAATGGAAAAATAAATCTAAATTTTAAATCCTAGATTTAATAAATCGAGTTTCTTTTCAATTCCTCTCAGTTTTATCTTAAATCACGGGTTTACTAAATGGGTAGATTTACGAGCAGTTTTAACGAGTAGATTTAACCCTAAACTCTACCAAAATACGAAAAAATGTGAAGCAAATCTGGCGGTTTGCTAAATCCAAATTCTCTCTGTTCTGTCTCTGTTACGACGTAAATCCTGATTTACAAAAGACAAATTCTAATTCTAATTTGATCATATCCAATTTGAGCTTTTTGGATGATTCCAATTAAGTCCACTAATCATGAATTTATTATCATCAAAATTATTGAGTTAACATGAACTATATTTACAAATAATTTTCAGAAGTTTGCCAAATCTGGATTTACAGATTTTAACAGACCTTACTTGAAAACTTGTTTTGCAATGCTTGTTCGAAATAGCTCGTGTTCGCAATCGGCTCGTGAATAGTGTGTTCATGTTCGGCTCGATTTAAATATTCGTGTTCGTGTTCGGCTCGTGTTAGGCTCGAAATTGGCTTGTTAAACTAAATTTGAGAAAAATAGATGTAAAGTGTGAGATTCGAACTTGAATCAAATCTATACAAAAAAAGACACTAACCACATTGCCACATGAGGTGTTATGATTTAAATTTAGACATAAATATATAATATATTATTATATAAATAATATATGGAATATATTATTATATAAAAAGTTATATAATTTTTTATTCGAGCCATTTTGAGCCGAACACGAGCGAACAAACTGTTGTTGGTGTTTGACTCGTTTACATTTCGAGCTTAAAAGTTTATTTATGTTCGGCTCGTTTGTTAAGCTTAATGAGCGAACATGAGCTGCTTAACAAGCCGAACTTCACAAACAACTAGCCAAACTGAAAACCCTGTTTCCAGCCAAACAAGCGCTTAGCCGTACTGTTCGCCTTCAGATTTTGCGCTATGCTTCTTCTTCAGCCATTTCTGATCACCTCCCGGTGATCATAGGTCGTCGTTAGGGTTTTACGAGCAAACAAATTATTGTTCGTGTTTGACTCATTTACATTTCGAGCTTAAAAATTTATTTGTATTCGACTTATTTGTTAAGCCTAACGAGCCGAATACAAATATTTCACGAACAACTAGCCAAATTGACAGCCCTATTTGCAGCCAGCGCTTAGCCGTATCTGTTCGCCTTCAGATTTTGCGCTATGCTTCACCTCCCGGTGATCATAGGTCGTCGTTAGGGTTTACTCCAGGATCGGGACACCGCCGGTCATCCTACGTCAGCACGACCATCGTCTTCCTCCTCCCTCTAGCGTCACTAGGGTTTTCTGTGCTACATCTTCTCGATCTCAATCTCATTGCAGGTCGATCTTCTCATTCTCACTCTGCAGTAACTGATTTTTTTTTCCTTTTAGTCGGTAAATCTCGCACGTATTTACATCGTTACAGTGAACATGGATTTTCCACCCCAAAGCTCATGCTTGATTTTAGGGTTTAGGGTTTCTAGTCTAAAATTTAAGTTTTTTGGACTTAATCTTTCATTAATTGTTCTAAGTTCACTTGTATAAAAAAAAAAAAAAATCTTTCTGCGTCGATGGTGATAGGATTATTTTAAGAATCTTGACTGAAAAAGTTAGTGTTTTTATTTGTATTTCTTCTTTCAAATGTCATGTGCTGCGTACTTGATTATCTATAGTGTATAAGTAATGGATAAATACAGTTTATTTAGTTAATTTACGTTTTGAAATTTGTGAGGCAGCGTGAGGGAGATGAAGAAGAGAAGGTGGGGATCGGCTTAATGGCCCTCTTTGGCTGATGAAGTTTTGTTTAACTTACTCTTTAGCTAAAAGGCAAGCTTACTTTAGCCATAGGCTAGTTAAAATGCATATTAGTTTTTGCTAGGTTGGGGCTGTTTGGTAACATATTTACTAAATCCTGCCAATAGCAAAATTTTATTGGTATTTGACCACACCTAGGATTTAGGTTAAATAGAAATAGGATTTAGTAAATCCGAGGATGATGCAAATCTAGAATATTGTTTAGTTAGTTAAGGTTAAATATACTTAAATTTGTTTGATGTGTTGGGCATCTTATTTCAGGATTTAATTTTATTCTCAAGTTAAATCCGTTAAATTCACCTAAAATTTGAATTTAGTAAATTCGGATTTACATAAAAAAAGAGACAAAACATAGAGAAATTTGGATTTAGCGAACAGCCAAATTTACTTCCCGTTTTTCGCATTGTGGTGGAGTTATGTTAAATCTACTCGTTAAATCTACCCGTAATCTACACATTTAGTAAACCTGGGATTTAAGATAAAACTGAGAGGAATTGAAAAGAAACTAGATTTATTAAATCTGGGATTTAAAGTTTGGATTTTTTTTTTGTCCAGCAGATTTAAGTTAAATCTCCCTTAAATTTGTTATCAGAAACTCCCTTAAGAGTGTTTATCTTCAGATTAAGTTCAAATTGAATAATGTGTTTTTCTGAAGTAAGAGTGCGAAAGTTTTTCTATCATACTACAATTTGCTTGTGTTTGGTTAAAATTTTTGTTTTTTGGTTGGAAGTTATAAAAAACTTTTGAAGTTGGTAATTCACAGGCCTTGTTCTCCGCATTCATGGAGGTTGCCAGGACTGAAGGTGATGAGCTTATAGCAGACTATGTAAACTGCCTCATGTCATTGGATGCCAACTCCCGCCCAATTGAGAATATCAACCCTTCAGGTCTTTCAGTGTCTGCCCCAACCCAGATACCAACAAGTATTCCTTCAGTGCTGAATGAACAGCCAGCACCAAAAGATTTTGTTCAGGCAGGTGTGGAAGAGATAAAGCTGGAACCTGTTTTGGGCATGGAGTTTGAATCTGACGAGGCTGCGAAGACGTTCTACAACGAGTATGCAAGGAGATTGGGGTTTCCTTTCCGTGTTGGTAGGTCCCGACGATCCAAAGGGACCGAGGAGGTGCTGATTATGAAGAGATTTGTGTGTTCAAAAGAGGGCATATATCAGAAGAAACCTTCGAACGAGGGAACGAGGAAGCGCGAAAGGATCTCTATGAGAGAAGGTTGTAAGGCTATGATGGAGGTCATTCGTGAGAGCGATCGATGGGTAGTCTCTAAGCTGGAGAAAGCGCATAATCATCATCTTGGTGCTTGTACGAGGGTTGGTTACCTTCGTTCAAGAGGCTTCATTGATGCTTCAGATAAGGCAAACTTCATGGTTTCCGATACAATGACGGTGCTTCGTCAAAATGCCTTCGGTCAAGGTGGAGATGCTCAGAGTCTTCTTGATTACTTCAAGAGAATGCAAGCCGAGAATCCCACATTCTTCTACGCAATCCAAGTTGACAACAATAGCTGCCTAACTAATGCTTTATGGGCTGATGCGAAGGCTAGAACTTATTATAACTGCTTTGGAGATACTGTTACATTCGATACAACTTATAAGAAGAATAAATACATGATGCCCTTCGTTACCTTCTCAGGTGTAAACCACCACTTGCAGCCAGTTATATTTGGATGTGCTTTGCTGATAGATGAGAATGAGTACTCTTTTATTTGGTTATTTGAAACTTGGCTTGAAGCAATGGGTGGTCGGCCGCCTGTTTGTTTTGTAACTGACCAGAATAGAGTCATGGCAGCGGCAACAGCCAAAGTGTTTCCAGAGACCTGCCATCGTTTTTGTAAATGGCTTATTTTTAGCAGATGTAAGCAGAAGTTAGCTCATGTATATTCAGCACATCCTACATTGAAAGCTGAGCTTGAAAATTGTGTGAATGAGTCTGAATCAATCAGAACTTTTGAAACAAACTGGGCTTCGATAGTTGATAAATTTGATCTTATGAAGAACACGTGGCTGCAGGGCTTGTTTAACATTCGTCAGAGATGGGTTCCTGTGTATTTAAAGGACTACTTTTTCGCAGAGATGTCGCCGTCTCAGAAATTAGAGACCATGAATGATTTTTATAAGAAACATTTCAATACAAAGACCTCTTTGAAGGTTCTTCTCGCACAGTTTGAGTTGGCCATGGCGAGCAGATATGAAGAGGAAGTACAAGCCGAGTTGAATACGATTTGCACAAACCCAATTTTGAAAACTGCATCGCCCATAGAAAAGCAAGCGGCGCTCATTTACACGAGGACGATATTTGAAAAGTTTCAAGAGGAGTTTGTGGAGTCATTCGGGTACAATGTTCACAAAGTAAAGAATGGACCTGTAAGTAAATTCAATGTGACGAGAGATGATGATGCTTTAGAAACATTTATCGTCACTTATGATGCAGCGAAAAGTATAGCGAGTTGTAGCTGCAAGCACTTTGAGTTCTCGGGGATTTTGTGCAGGCATATAATGGGTGTGTTCTTGATGGTTGATGTCCGAATTCTTCCACGAGAGTATTTTTTGAGGCGGTGGACAAGAAATGCAATGGGAGGAGCACTTTTGGATGAAGATTCTGCTGAAAACCAAGTTTCATGTAACGCTTCATTCTCATCGAGATTCACTGATCTTTGCCACGATGCCATTAAATATGCAGAGAAAGGAGCGATTTCCATAGAAATATACAGAGTAGCAAAGGATGCTTTACATAAGGTTTTTGCTGAAATTATTGCTAATGAAAAAAATACAAGTCCGGGTGCACATAGAGATGCAATCAATATTAATGAAGAAATTCCAATAGATGATGCAATGAATGATCAATCACTACAAGATCCAGAGCGGAAGGTAGGAACCTTTCTATTCTTAATCATCTAATATTAATTTTATTCACACATCTTATTGCTGTATCTTCCTCCCCTCACTGTACTTGTCCACTAATTAAATCTCAAGGTTTCTCATTCTTACAAGCATGGCAATGGGTATTGTTATTTATAACATGCCTGTTGGATAAGGGATAATGTATTAAGAGCTGGTTGGAGAGTAAAATGTGAAGTTGTGGAGAAAAATAAACATGCTCGAGTAATGTGCTATTCGAGATGAAGCATTATGGTGCTAATGCAATTTTGGGGAATTAGACAAAGGGAGGAAAGAGGAAATGTGCATAGTTGTAGGAAGTTTTGGGTCCAAGGAAAAATGGAATGTATAAGACCAATGATATAATTGAAAAAGAAGGACAGCAAAAACTAGTGGTGATTGAGAATTTTGGGGAGAAAAAAATTGATTAGATTCTAAAATAAGATGCGTAATGAAAATTAGGAGCTATGAGATTCTTAATTCTTGAGGCTATAGCTTGCTCCAATTTTCATGCAAACCTCTTAACTTTAACTTTATTGTCCTTGCTACTTTGTTGTGTCAACTTACAGCTACTCGTGTCGTCTCGTCTTCTTGCTCTTCTGTCTGTTACACGCTTCTTTACTTCACATTATATTTTTCATACCATAGTTTCTGTTTAACCCTTGTGCTAATCTTGACACTTGTCTCCCTGGATTTGCACCATTCAAATTATTCTCTCTGTTATTTGCTGATACCGCTGATTCTGCGTTTATTTACTACTGAATTTTTCTTATGACACTATTCAATTTCCTCTTTTAACATTGCATAGGCATGCAATTTTAGCTCATATTTTAATGATTTTCAGCAGTTTTTTTAGTTTGGATTTTTTTTATATAAATAAGTTCCTTTAGACATGTCTGGTGTGAAAGATGGAAATTTGTTTTTTCCTGTAATAGAAAGAATTAGTATGTTAAAATTACTCTCTGATGATCTATGAAAAAAGGAGAATAACAAAGAAAAGTATAGCGATTTATAGCAAGAGCAAATATCCATTATGTTAACAATTACAGGACAATCTCTTATAGTGTTTATGAAGCTTTTTTGAGTGTTGAGAGGACTAGAAAAGAAGAGACAGTTGTAGTTGAGAGGGATTACATTCAATGGATGAAATAAAGAAAGAAAAGATGGTTTAGACAATTATTTTGCTTTTGAAAAAATAAATAAATAATTACAATTTTTGTTGCCTTCCAGAGCAACTTTTTCATGGAGATATGAGGGTTTGAATTTGTGGAGTATTGTCTAAAAACAAACAAGTCATGGTGATGTTTTTGTCACCATTAACAACATCTTCGGCAGCTTTCATAAATCATGTAACATAAGCACAAAGTGCATCACTTTCTTTAACATAAAAACATAAACTAAGAGAGTTTGAGAGGTCTTTTAGAGGCAGAAAATTGAAAAGAAGGATATAAGAAAACTCCTCAAAAGAATGAATATTGTTAATATTAGAAGAATTGAATCATCTTTGGGTAATGTCATTACACTACGGAGAGACATTTTTTCATGGTGTTTAATATATTGTAGAGAGACATTATGTTCTCGAAGGTTTCTATGTGATAAAATGGATCAAACGTTCCTGCGTGCACTTCTAATTGTGGAACCTTAAGTTTCGGCGGCATGACTTTCTCCGGGTTTGTGAACTGAAAATGGATTATTGTGGGTGTGAATGCTAATTTGAGTGGAAACTTCATGAATTTGGATTCCCCCTTCTTAGAGGTGAGATGAGAAGCTTTTTAAGTGGAAGTGGTCGGTACGCAGAATAAATTTTTGGCAAATACATGATTCCAACTAGCCTTGTGTAACAGAAGTGTTACTACTCATGGAACTTTTAGGATTCAAATTGTGTTGAGAATGGGATTCGAGCTGAACTATGAGTTAGATTTCCTTCTTCCTTGGCTTTTTTTGTCATGTCATTCAATAATAGATTTTCTCACTAATTACATAAATAAATGTAAATGGTGGAAACCTGATTATTTGGGCAACCGAGATGTTACATATATTCTTTGCAAATTATTTTGAACAACTTTGACCTATATTTCTGTGTATTTTTTTCTTCTTAATCCGTCGGGCCTTATTTCATCTTACTTTCAAATAACATTTTTAACACTTTATTATTTATGTTTGGGACAACAATTTTTTTTTTTTTTAACTATCATATTTTTAATAGATGCCCTACAATATGGAACACGAGAACATTTTCAAATATCTTTAATATCCATGTTAGATGTAGGCATATCTTCTAAATGCACCGATAAATGTTTATCACTCTTAAAATTATGTATTAATTATTTCAGAAGCAAATTAACTTTTGTCATAGACCCAACATGGCCTGATACGATTCAAACATGTGATTGACACGCTTAAGATGTTCATGGAATGTGAAATATATTACATTCGAGATTTCCCGACCTTCATGTCTGTCAGCACTAACTGATAGGACTCACACCAGAACTCTTCTTCTTTCGCTTCGTTCCTAGCTCTTTCAGCGTGTCTCAAGTTCTCTTCATTATATGAAGGTGTGCGTGATATTCTCTTCGGTGTTCAAGCTCTTGCTCCTCCATTGTCGCCCTTGCATTTTTCCTTTTACATGAAACCTGTGCTCCTCAGTCAGCATAGCTCTATTTTCTTGCTTTTGCAAAGTTTCCAGACTTATTTTTTTATTTGCATCCAACAATGCTTGTACCCACAACTCTGTTTCAATATAGCATCATTGACATACTTGCTCATGAGTTTCACTAGACTCTCATTATGTACCTACTTTGTAGAACTCAAGCTTGTTCTACTTTTTACAAATATGTTAACATTTTTTTTTCATTAAGTATTCTTAATAGGTTGAAGGGATTGAGAGCCATTTAATTTTTAATTTAAAAGGTTATTTATTATTTGAAAATGGCTCAAGTGAAAACATAATAGAAATTTTATATTTATACTAATAATTTATAAACTTTAACATTGTGACCATAATGTGTCATGTCCTATTTTTTACAATTATATTGTGTCATTGTTTTGTGTCAGGATATCTATATTTATGCTTTATAAGCTACAATTTTTTATCCGGTATAATCATTTCTTAATTTATTTTTTAAAGTTCTATCACATAGATGTCATAACATTCTCATTTCAATCATGCATTTTAGCTAATATAATTACTTCATTTTGTCCCTATGAATTATATTCTTCAGTTGCAGAGGATGGCAATCATTTCTGAACAAGAATGTTAAATGAATTATTAGCAAGTAACCTACTGAAAAGGTGTTAAACATGCATATTATAAATCTCATATTGAGCTACGTATTGCGCAAAATGGAATATTATAAACATAATTAGTTTTAAGTTTTATAAATTATGTTGAAAGTTGTCTTGTAATGACTATGCCCCCTTTATAAAGAAAAAATCTGGGCTGCTGAAAAATAATTAATATGCATTCTAATATCTAGAGAGAGAGAGAGAGTTCAGAAAAAGACTGAAATTATGAAGGTTAACTTTCTGAGTCTAAATGCTTTCTTTTGAGTAGATTTAAAATTGAATGCATGAATTTAATTTTAGTAGTAGTAGATCTAGTGGCGGGGTTGTAACAATGGGCGGTCAAGTCATTAAAAGGAGTAAACATTTTAGATATTTCGGGGCTATTGTTGAAATGATGGCGATATAGATGGGGATGTTATTAGTAGAATTTAAAAGTAGAGGAATGCATCGGGCCTATTGTGTGATAGAAAAGTACCTCTTAAACTCGAAAGGAAAATTTTATGTGATGGTGGTGAGACATGTAATGTTTTATGGCACAGAATGTCGGCCTGTAAAAGAGGAGCGCTTATTGCGTACGGACACCGCACGCAAATTTGCATGCGCATGCGGTGTTCGATTTGAACCTTTGAAATACATCTTTTTGCTTATTTTATTGTTAGAGTGGGGCCCGCACTAAATTTTTGACGGTCCAAATCGGACACCGCACGTAAATTTTGCGTGTGGTGTCCGCACACAGTAATTTTTAATAAAAGAGAAGCATAAAATCAAGTATTGCTGACATGGGAATGCTTAGGTGGATGAGTGGTTTTACACTTACAGATAAAATACAAAACAATAATAGCTATGAAAGGGTTGGAAACAAGATTAGAGAGAGTCGTTTTAGATGATTTGTTCATGTTGACCACTGACCATTTGATGACCCAATTAGCAGATTAGTTTTAGATTTGACTTGTGTTAAAAAAGTTAGAGGTAGACCATAAAGGACTTGGGCATATTATATGAAAAAATGATCTAAATTTATTATAATTAAACGAAAATATGACACTTAATAGGACATAATGGAGAAAAAGGATTTATCTATCTAGCCCCATTTAGTAGGATAAAGGTTTGTTGTTGTTGCTAATGTTGTTATTGTATCTAGTCTAATATCTAAAGAACTAATGATTGATATCTAGCAGTCTTACAAAGCTTTAAAAAAATGAAAAATGTATATATATATATATATATAGAGATTTATATATATATTTATATATATATATATAGAGAGAGAGAGAGAGAGAGAGAGGAGCGTGAGTAAACAATCCTGAAGCCTGATGCTCAAAAATCATATTGCTAGCTATGAAGTTTACATGCATTCCACATAACCCTTATGTATTTATATATCTAACACTAGAGCTTACATATTTTCATTTATAACACATTAGTGTCATGAACCTATGTATGGAAAGGTGTATTTCACTTTTTAAGCAAGATTGGTATTTTTTTATATGATATTAATGATTTGATTGTTTGCATGTTAATACCAAAGTTCAGGTGTGTAAATATATATAACAATTGTGTGATATGTATGTAAATGCTCTTCAATCATAGTTGAATAATTTATTTATTTATTTTTTTAATGTTTGCAGGTTACTAATTTTCTGGGACAGCTGCTTGGCTCTTCATGGTCACCCATGTAAAATTTCTTATTGCAGAAATATATATATATATTTCTCTTGAAATTATTTGGCTAAGTTCATTTAAAGGTATTGCAGATTACAAGAGCAGAAGCAGCCTACAGGCAAGTTCTCAACCACAATGTTTGGGAAATTAATTAGGTTGACTATTTTAATAATATTATGCACTGTTGGAGTTAGATTTAAAATATGTATTTTTGTCTTAGAGGTTGGTGTATAGGCTATGTTTTTCTTTGTAAAATAAAAAATAAAAAAAAAATAAAAAAGGATTTAGTTTTATGTGCACATTTTACTTGAATTTAGTTTTGGGGCATTTACATGCATACTACTCGATTCCTAACAGACGTCGGTGTTTCGGCGGCAATGTATAGTCGACTGGTTTCATTCAAAAAAGGGGTTGCACGTCAAAAACAGTTAGTTTTTTTTTGGAGCGGGTTTCATTGTTCTAGTTTTTTATACATTTATGTCATTCAAATCTTTCATATCAAATCAAACATATCAGTAGATATGTAAATACATAGGAATTGATTGGTATATATGTAAATCTTTCTTTAATATCATAGGAAAAGGGGACTTATTGAATAATTTTATATCCAAAAAAATACTGATTATTTTATTTTTTGCACATATAAAATTTCTATCTTATTTGTATGCAATTTTAAATTTCTACAACATTTTTTTGCAAACATAAAATTATTACATTTTTATTTGATATCATTTAATTGATGAAAGTTCTATCATTATATGTAAATAAAAGTTGTATGTGAAGAAACCATTTATTAAAAAAAAATTAATAAAAATATCTTGAAATTCACTCTCTAAAAATGCAATATAAAATTTATATTGCATTTTTTACAATAGAACATTAGTACAAACTAGTTCTTATTTTATTTTATCACTATAATGATGTAATATGTGATAGGGTTACAATATGAATATTCCAATTAATTAAAGCTCTAATATGATTATCTTTTATAATATTGAACCACTTATAATTTATATAAGAAGTTTAATGTTATGTGGTGTTGAAGTGTTAATAATTCTTAATACCAAGATTATATAGGAAAATTGTTTATACACTTCTACCATGATTATGTTAGATTGTAAAGTACCATACATTAGATATGATAATAAAATATTTATAATGTAATAACTAACTTAGGGTTTATTTGGGGCGTTGGTGCGATGACGGAGTGAGATTGCACTACAGTTTGGTCTGTTTAGGTAAACTGTGTTTTTGCAGCTTTTTTTCAAAAATCTGTCGTTGAAATCTGTGTTTTCTCATCGCTTATGACTGTGTTGTGACAGCTTTCTAACTGCAATCTGACTTTTTCAAAAAAAAAAAAGTTGTAATAGCCACCACAACTTTTGAGAATCAGATTATTATTCAGCAGCTGCGCAGTTGCTTTTTAATAAGCTGCAGATACCCCAAACAAACATTTGAGCATAAATATTTTTAAGCAAAAATAGCAAATAACACAAAATGTGCTTTAATTATGGCTTGTTATTTTATGTAAGCAATGGTATACATTACTTTGCATATGTAGACATATATTATGAATAAAAATTATGTAATTGAACAAATGATATGCTTACAATGAATGAATGTCTAAATTAATGATTCATGGATGGTTAAATCAAAACATTATCCATGTAGGAAGGCAATCTAATGAGTTTATTTAAAAAGATTGGAAGAGAGCAAGAAAAGAGTTCTCTATATCGTACCTTGATCCAGCTTTTGCACAACTAGCGCAAGTGCACGTGTCATTTAAGTGCTATAAAGGTCTAGAGTCCAAAATTGTTCTCATGCTGAATGATGTAAAGCAACTTTTAGAAAACTAAATATTAGTTTTCAAAACCCTAACTTCTACTTAAATTATTAAAATTATGTATTAATGAAAATTTTTAAAAAGATAAAATTCTAAACAAGTTCATAGCCACTACAATTTATTAAATGAAATTGGAATAAGTGTGAACAAGTATTTACAATAAAAGCTTAACACAAATTCATAATTAGATAAAAATTAAAAAGGAAAATTCACATATCAAAATTAAAGAGCAATTAGCCAAACATGATTCAATACATAAATGGATGAAATCTTTTCATTCATTCCAATAGTGAGAAAGAAACATAAATTTAATGTCATGAAGGCCTTAGTTAGCACACCCACCGGAGCTAGCTCATGTTAGCCTTAATGACTTTTTCTTGAACAATGTCACTAGGTCCTAGAGATGCCTTGTTACATATTCAAATCACCAATTTGCTGTATCATTGAAATTTCTTGCAAAAATAATACAAAAATGAGTAAAATTAAAAAAAATGTTCAATTATACTAAAAACTAAAATTTCTAAAGCTAAAATGTTACTTAGTTTGGCTTGTAGAAGTATTTCCTTTCTCGCAAAGATGAGATCATATAGTATCTTTTTTTAGTCGACCAAATTAGCATTCGTAAGTGTGCACTGTTTGAGAAATTTAAGAAAAAATCTCAACGATAGAGAAATTTTATGTTGTTGTCAGTATAATTTTGATAAATTTAGCTAGAATCTCAAAACACTTCATCAAATGTCCACATTTATTCCCTTGATCACAAATATTTTGAGAAAAAGTCTCAGCGATAGAGAAATTTTATGTTGTTGTTAGTATAATTTTGATGAATTTAGCTAGAATCTCAAAACACTTCATCGAATGTCCACATTTATTCCCTTGATCACAAATATTTTTTTAATATTTAAATCTTAATAATCTCATAATTAGATGATCTTTGGCTCATTGGATTCCCTCGTTGAGCAACTCAATTTAACTATAAGCAAAATAAACTGTAGTGATTATTTAGCCTTCTAATTAACACATAAAAATCTTTAACAATACTTTGAAGTATTTGATTTGAGTTATTTGAAACTGGATTGGATCACTTTTACCATCATTGGTTAGTTTTTTTTTTGAGATGTTTAGTTTTACTATAAACTTGTTGAAATTGGAGCCTAAATGAATTCATTTTAGCTTGAACTCATTTCATGAAAACTATAAGAGTTTCTTTATGTAGAAGCCCAATATGGCTTATTCCTATTAACTTCTACTGACAAGTTAAGGAAAATATCTCTTAATTATATCTTGTTGATATCTCTAAGGAGATTTTCTTAATAATTCATTGTCTAATTATCATAATTGGAACATATGTTGATTATGATTTTTTTGATTGTATGTTCTGCCAATATTTAAACTTGTGAGCTAAATGGCAAAGGCAAGCCCATGGCTTCAAGCTAAAGCCAATCTATAGATAAAACATTAATGCACCCTCTATAGTATGGTTCAAATATCTCACTACTATGAGATCGTCCCTTAAGACAGGCGTTAATGCTTATTTTTTCCCTTAGTATGCATTTAAATTTATTAGGTTTGCCTATTAAAACATCCATTAAGCCTCCCTCTTTTAAGACCTATATATATTATAAGAAATATATTTTCTCTATCTTGATTATATCTAATTATAATATTGTTACTTCAAATGGTTGATCTTTCCAACCAAATCTCTTCATTCTTTGAACTTGGTGAATCATCAATATTGAGTTCTAAATCAAGATTTGCTCAAGATCTCACAAAGGCTAAAATGTTGAAGTGACTATTGAAAATGAATAAATATCTAATTAACAATCTTAAGTTAACCAAGATTTTTTCAAAAATTTTAGGAGTACAAATAAACATTTTGAAGAAAAATCAAAGCAAGACTAATCAAAACTTGCAGCATTGTTTGAAACAAAAATTAAAAAAATTAAAAAAAATAAAATATTACATTTATAAAGTTACTTGGTTGACTCAAAGATACGATTTGAAGAAAAAAAATGTCACTTTTAATCTTTAAAAGTCAAATGTCAAATTAGAAAACCAGATTAAATCTTAAAAAGTAAAAGAAAAGCTCTCCTATTAAAACTATGTGATACATATCTTTTGAAATGTTCTCTCTCTTTAATATGATGTGCTAGGAGAAGTGATGAAATAATTGGATTGAGTTCTTAAAGTTATTTGAGAAAAAACTTGTGTTAAAGTAATAAAGTAAATACCATGTAGGTTAAGGAAATATTCAACAATATAAATTTTGAATCTTTCTTAGTTAGATGATTGAATATCATATTAAGAATAATATGTTATTTCAAAAGATGATAATACTATTGAAAAATAGATTCAGCTATTAAATTAAAATTTTGAAATTTATGGGTTTGCATGAATCAAAGATTTTTCCACTACTTGATTTGGGCAATATATGGTTTTTTTTTTTATTATTTTGAGGTAGAATAACACTATACAAGCAACCGAGTATTAGTGATTATCCTTTAAAAATACTAGTGACTCATATTTATAAAAATTTCAAAATTTAGTTATCAAGACTTTTGTTTTAAAATTTTAATTAGGAAAGAAAAAAATGGAACAATTATTTTCATATGCTAAAAAGTGGTAAGATCGATGATTTAAACCCTACTTGAACCTAATTCAAACCTCCTCTCCTCTCTATGGTTTGAATTACTTAAATTAATTCCAAACCATTTGAGCGTTTTTGAATTTGAGCAAGCTCTAACTCATTTTAATTGGTTCAAATTTGAAAAAAAAATTAGACCTAATTTCAAAGTCCTTTGACTTAAGAAAATAGCCCATTAATATTTGAGATTATCCCTTATTAGGGGTAATCTCTTATTGTAAATATTAAAGTAATTGTCCAAAAATTTAGAATGCTTGAAAGCAAAACAAAAAATATTTTGCCCTTTATAAATATGCATGATTTTCCTTTTAATAATTAACATAAACATTATAGTTAAAATTAATAATTAAATTATTATGAAAATTGAAAATATTTAAAGTAAATGTTGTTTTAGTTTTAATAAAAACTAAAACAATAATTTTCTTCAACTATCATATTCAAAGAAAATTAATTATGAAACACCTTTAGATAACATTTTAAAATGATAATTAGAAGTATAACTTTATAAAAGAATTTGGTGACTATCTTTGAAACAAAAATTAAAAAAAAATCTAATTTACTGAGCTTATAATTAATATTTAAGCATTTGTTAGTGCTTCTCTAATGTTTCTTTGATTTTCTTCCTTAATATAATTTTTAATATTTTTTGCAATGGTACATATATTATAGAAAATCATTTTAATATTATATGCCCTAAAACTCAAATAAGATGGTCACATAATAGGAGCATGCATTTTGGGTTACATAGTTAAAGCTTTTTAAAATAACAACTATCATTAAGTTATATAAATTTAGGAACAAAGCGTGAGTCTATCACTCAAAGTCGACTTCATTCTTTAGATAAATGCTATAATTGGATTCTTGCCATATAATTATTAAAGTTTCTATATAACTCAACTCTTTTGCAAGTTTTATGAGCTACCTAATATTTTTAATGACAAATATTTGCTTTTAACTTACCTATGATATTCATTATGACATGATGGGTGCAAACTCTATGATATACGTTTAGAAAAATTTCTAATAAAAATATTATGGATAACTCTTTCATTCTAATCATGAAATACATCCATGATTTATTTTTTCCAAATCAAGTATTATAAATATTACAACACAAATGTAAATATTAATGCCATACTCATTGTCATAAGCAAAATATCTTCATTTTTTGTATTAAAAAACATTTAATTCATATTTAACATTGGGCGACATACATTCTTAAAATTTTAGATATAACACTTACAAAAACGTAAATATACCTATAACATTCTTCATTTTCAAGCTAAAGATCAATAATTGTTATATTTTTTATTTTTAGCACAATGTTATAAGATGATAGCTTATGCAAGAATGCACTGAGGGTTTCTCTTGTGTAAGTGAAAGTTTGCTCATGGGACGCTTAGGTTTTCTCAGCATAAAAATGAATGTCTTAATCTCTCTTTATGCCTTATATGATTATCATTAACTTCAATTTATGATTAAATATGAGCCATTTTGAGCTTCTTAGTAATTTTCTTATCTAATATTCAAAGTGTAAGAGTTTTTTCATTCATGTATCCCAATCAAGACAATCTAGAACATATTAGAGTTTGCCAATTACATGGCTCATATACTGTATAAATATTATTAGTAATGCAATAAATATTGCACACAAATAAACACACACACACACACACAAAGTATTCATATGTTCTTCATAACTAAATTGATGTTGTTAGCCTAAGGTGCATGAAAGATCAAATGACCTCACATGTTTACTAGTTTTAGGCAAGTTACAAAATCAAGGTGCATTGTCTAATGTACACTTTTATATTGAAGCATTCTTGAAGCAAGTATCTTTGCACAATTCTAAATGAGGTATGCCCTCATCATTACCCAAACCAAAACATGGTGGCATGTTGATTAATTTTTCATCTTTCTTATTTGCACAAAAAAAAAAATTATAATTAAAATCTTATTGGGAGCAATAATCACACATTGAGATATTGATGTTTAATGGATATGAAAGCTCGTTAATTTAAGAAAAAAATAAGATCATAATATTTTAGTAGCTTTGTTGAAGGAATTTAAATTGTGGACTATGCTCCCCCAAAGTGATACATCACTTCTAAACTCAATTCTAAATTGAAAGTAAACTTATTTTTATCAATATTTATCAATATGTCATTCAACCTTTGCTTCATTTTATTGTAAACATTCAACAAACTTGGCTATATTCATTTTTTAGTTTTCTTTGTATGACACATGATAAATGATTCTTATTCCAAATTATAAGCATGATTAACACGTGTATACCTAATTATCTTTTAGATCTTCATCAATCACAGTGCTTTTCCGTGCATGACTTATGGAGGAGTTAACAAAAAACTCTGTCAAATTAGTAGATTCAAGTTTAAAGCACACATTAACCATTAATTTATAACTTAATTTTTTTTTAAAGCTCAACTTCTCAAAAGAAAAAAAAAAGACAATTTTTCTTATTATTATTAAATGGATAATTAGTTGTTTACTTATACTAAAAATCTAAATTTCCTTTCGTCTTCTCTCACCTCCGTAGGTGAGGTGAGTTTCATTAGCCCTTTCTTTGTTCCATGGTTTCGCTCCACGAAGTCGGCAAGTTGCGAAAGCGATAGAGGGGATGAAGCATCCATGAAAGTGGACTTGATCTTCAGTAGCTCATTCAATTTTGCCGATTTTTGATCTGAATCTTTGCCTATTTCATCCAAGGTTTGAAAGAATTTCATCTTTTTAGAGTTTGCGATAGGGTTAGAAGTCTGTTTTTCTATGAATTGTAATTGTTCAGGATCGATTGACGCGATTCCTTATAATTTCGTTTTCGCGAAGGGTTCTGGGGGGTATGAAGAAGCTCCTTTTAGGGTTTGATGAATTAGTTTGAAATTTCTGGTTGATTCTTGGAGCGGGGAAGTTCTTATGAACATTTTCAATTTTATAGGATTCATTCATTTGGGTTGCCCTAGTTTATTTACTTATTGGTATTTCTCCTTTTTGGCCATTGGGAAGTAAGGTTTTGGAGATTTTGAAGATGGATGAGACAGTGAAGATAGAGAACCTTCAATCCGCTGCGGCATTTGTGGAAGGGGGAATCCAGGATGCATGTGATGATTCGTGCAGCATTTGTCTTGAGTCTTTCTGTGACAGCAATCCTGCAACTGTATGAAGCTTTATATTTGTTTTTGAAAATCTTGTTTATTTCTCTCTTTTGTATTCTTTGTGCTGATAAAGTTTTGGTTTTTAGGCGACTAGCTGCAAGCATGAGTTCCATATTCAATGCATTCTTGAATGGTATTGGCCTCTCATCTTTCCTGTTTAAAATCAGTATTGATAATTTCTACCAATGTATTTTTGGGTTGGCAGTTTCAGAATTTTTTTTTTTTGAACTGTCTATTTTTAGTAAAGAGAACTCTGTGTAGGGTGTAGTTGAGTCAAGCTAAATCATGTGCCTGCTCGGACTTGGCTTGATAAGTGGCTTGTGAATTGAGCTCAATGAGCTAATAAGTTAAAAGCTTTAACTAACCCCAATTTAACTCGTTCGCTCGTGAGTTAGTTTGTTTAAAAATAACTAATATAAAATATACTCAAAATTCAAGAATGTATCTTCGAAGTATTATTATTAATGTTAAAAAAATGAAAGTATACATTTTATATCATATGATTTCTTATTATTTATGTTCTAAATGCTCATTCTATTTGTCATTTTATTACAACACTAGTTTGAATAAATATTATTTTCTCTCTTTTATAATAATCAAGTTGGCTTGTGGATCGTCTCAAAATTGTAGAATAAAACATGAGCTCGATTTATTTACCAAGCTCAAGACAAGGATGACTCGAGCTCAACTCGGCTCACATCCCTAACTTTGAGAATATTCTAGTGGACATGTTGCTATTATTCATGTTTTCCAAGATTGTTTTCTGATTGAACTAAACATTTATTTGTCATTTACGTTCTGTTGTAAAAGAATATACATTCTTTTTTTTTTTTTTATTCACTTAAGAAAGTTTAAATTCTACGAATTTGACATGTTTGTACCATTGGAAAGCAATCCTTGTTTTATTCTCTTTTGTTGTTTAGTTTTTTTAAGTGTCTCAGGTCATCATCCTCACATTCTAATGCAATGTCACAACGTATTTATTTGCAGATCGAGCATAGTAGCATGTGGAAAATGCTTTTGTTGTAGTTATGTCTCTTTGGAGAAACTACACTTGAACACTCGGGGGCTATTTGGTTGTAGGATTTGAGCAGAATTTAATCTAAACCCTGTCAACAACAAAAATCACAACTTTAAATTCTACATCTTAAATCTTATTTCTCCTCCATTTTGCCTTAAATCCAGATTTAGTAAATTCAGCTGGAAGATGGATGTACCCGACACAAACGGTGTCCGCACAAATAGTAATAGAATGAGAGATGCAATGAGAGTGTAACAAACATGAGCCCGATATGTCTTTCAAGTAGTGGAGGGATCCGATGGGCAGTTGTGAGGTGCTAAAAAATTCTAGCTTTTTGGACTCGGTGACAATGAGAGTAGGTAAAATATCCAATGGAGTCGGGAAAGGAACGGTGTTAAAAAATTCTAGCTCCCCCTCACCCGAGGTAATTTTAGGGAAGTATGGGACACTTTAAAAAAAGGAGATATCGACACTCACATAGAGTTTAATTGATAGGATTTGTTGGAGTTGAAGCGTGTGATGGGGTGGGAGGAAGGATGAGATAGACGGGAGTTAGTCGGCTAGGAGTGGAGTGGAAATTGGAGTTATACGGGAGTCTCGGAGATCTTTGTATGCCTCAATCCCGTTGTTGCCTTCCTAGCCAGCCTTTGCGACTTTATCGCAAGGGTTTCAGACGCGAGAGGAAGATGAAGTGGAAGGTAGGCGATGGTTCGGGCAAAATTGGGAGAGTAGAAGCAAGGTATGTGAGTTTTGCAGGCAAAAGAGGGGTAGGAGAAGATAGGTTTCAAAAATTAATTAACAATTAGTCATTAATAAATATAATATCAAGTTAATTATAATTTTTTTAATAGTTGATGCCAATTATGTATTAAGTTAGTTATAGTTATATAAATTTAATTGTAATTATTTTATAACTAATTAACATAAATTAAATTACATGTTAAATTTAAATAATTGATAAAACTTAATTATTAATTATTTTTAATAAATTGCTAATCAGTGATTAATTAATTAACAAGGTTTTTGCTTGGACAAATAAGTAGTTTAATAAATATTGTTAATAATTATTTATTTTAGTAAATAGTTAATTATTTATTAACATAATTAGAAATAAAATTTTAAATCAAATTTAGTTAGAATTAATAATTATATCATTAATATATAATATTAAATTCATATGTCAACTAATAGATTTGAAATCCTAAGATAAGTTGTTTTCATCGGATTTATTCGGATTTAACATCTGCAATATGCCAAATAGTTTTCAGGGTTTAAAGACCTCAGAATATTCTAAATATGAATTTATAGGATTTACTAAATCTTGTTTAAGTTAAATCCCACTTGCAACCAATAGTCTAATATCATGAAAGCAACTGGCATTATGTTACGTGATGGATCAAGATTTTGTTGCATGGTTTTCAGTTGGATTTGTCTATTGTTTTTATGTCGAGCATACCTTTCTGTTCTTTAATAACAGTAACTTCTTCATTGAAATCAAGCCTCTACTAATTCATGATAAAGTTTCATGTGCTATAACTGTTATTTCGTTTCATAAAGGCATACAATTGAAAATTGGCATGTATATGTTCAATGTTCTTATCTATTTATTCAGTTTTTTTCAATTATTATTATGTACCGCTGAATAGAATATTGATCAATCGAAACCTTCCTCATTTCTTTTTATGGAGAATAAAACCATTACACAATCCCAAGCATTGCCAAAGTGTAGATTTTTATCAACTCCATAAATTTAAATTGCAGATTTCATCTCAAATGCCTATTTCTTTTTTATTCTTATGATGACAATATTGGTTGCAGGTGTCAAAGAAGCTCCCAGTGTCCCATGTGCTGGCAACCCATTAGCTTGAAGGATTCCACTAGGTTCGTATATTTATGTTTGTATATTTATGTTCTTTTTATTCTTACGCGTGTTTTTCTGTTAAAATGATGAATTTGCCAGAAGTTTTACCTTGTGGTGCTTTATGCCAGCCAAGAGCTTCTGGAGGCTGTAGAAAGAGAGAGGAGTTTTAGGGTCAAACAAAATCATAATACTACTATTTTTCATCACCCAGCGCTCGGAGAGTTTGAACTGCAGCATGTAGAACTATTTTTCTTGCAGTTCTTGTTTTTCTTTTCACTTTTTGGTTGATATTTTTAATCTTTATCCTCTTTGATTGCAGCTACCAGTTGGTGCAACAGATTCTGATCTTGAAGAACGTATTATTCAACACTTAGCAGCCGCTGCTGCATTGCGTAGAGCGCATCATGGCGCTAGAAGAGGACTACGGAGCGGGTCTGGTTCTCAAGGCCGGTCACAATTTTTGGTTTTTTCATCACATCCCAACGCAGCTTCAGCTGCCTCTGTTTCTGCATCATCTGCTAATGAAGGAGAAGATGAACCAGCTTCTTCTACTTCTACTGCTGGGCAATCTGTGCTTGCTGTTACAGAAGACCAAACCCAGCAACAAAGCTCCTCAGTCGAATCAGATGGAGTTGTGGCCGATTCCAGGAATAATGCTGTTTCTGCCAGCAGCCCTGGTCTCAGTAACCTTTATTCCTCAAGGGAAAACCGGTTTGTTTTATCTTCTTTTTCATCTAATTTTCTTCTTATTGTTTTGACTATAAAATGGTCCTTTTTTGTTGCAGTTCTGTTGGTGAATCAACTCCTATCAGCCAAGATAGAGCAGGACCATCTGATTTTCAATCTTTCTCAGATTCGTTGAAATCTCGCCTTAATGCAGTTTCAATGAGGTGATATTTTTTTTCATTCTTATCCTTTTAATCTGGATCAATAGTTTTATACTTTTATTCTTCCTTAGATACAAGGAGTCTATTAGTAAAAGCACTAGAGGATGGAAGGAGAGGTTCTTTTCACGTAGTGCATCGATTTCTGATATTGGTTCGGAAGTGAGGAGAGAAGTTAATGCTGGGATTGCTACTGTTTCGCGCATGATGGAGCGAATTGACATGAGAGACAATTCTTCCGCTGCAACATCTAGTGCTTCCACGCCGGACATTTCTGAACATTCTGAAGTTGGATCTAGTAATGAGAGAGTTAATGATGGCCCATCACCTTCTTGTGCTGCTAGTTCTGGTTCAAATTGAGTTATCCCCACAAAAGTTGCACATTTTTGTGTGGTTATTGCAGGTATGAAACAATTTGTGTGCTAATGTTTGGCCCTAACCTCTATTTACAATTTGATTTCTTGAAAGTTCTTAGTAAATCTTGTTGAAAGTCATAAGACTTGATCACAGACATCTAGTAATAAAAATCCATAGTAAAAAAAAAGCCAATGCAGACTTGGTCAAGGGGAGCCAAATAAAAGCTGTAGGAAGAGGGTCATCAAACAGGAAGTTCTAAGAGTAGCATGCAAGAAAGTTGTTGGCAGAGAATTTACTGGATAGAAATCGCTGGAGGATGCCCCCGGAGAGAAATTTAGAAGTGGAGAATCTGCTTGTTGTAAGAGTAGAATGATTTGAAACACCTGTATGACACCAAAAATAGTTACAACTAAGTCATTGAGCAGATAGAACAAGGTTTAATTTGGATTATTGTTTTGAGAGCAGGAAATTGTTGTCTAATTAAATGAAGAAACTAAAAAAATTCAAAGTAAGAAGAAGAAAATGTAAGCACTAGGAAACCCTATACTTGGATTCGGTCGCCCCATTGCCAGTGGGGCTCCTAGGCGCCCATCCAAAAGTTTCCAGGGTGGAAACTCAGCGCTCAAAAGGACACAACCGTATTTGGGGTTGCTCACAACACCGAGCGTCCGGAAACTAAGCACCTGAGGGTGGTGCCTTGGTGCCAGAAGCAATTTTTTCTGCAGTTTGGGATTTAAAGGCTTCGACTTGGACGTGAGAACTAGTTTTTACTAGTTTTTCTGAAGTTCTCTCTGGTGTGTACGTGAAGTACTTTTTTCTGTCGCGCGTGAAGTTCTCTCTGGTGTGTACGTGAAGTACTTTTTGCGAATGAGCATTTGGTGTGTGTCATTTGTGAATTTTCTTTTGTGCCAAAAATAATTAAGGAGCATCCCAACGTATTGATTGAGTTACAAAAGAGTGGAGAGGCTTGAGTGCATTGTAATATGTACATTCTCCCTATTTTCATAATGGATTTTTTTGGTGTGGTGTGCTCCATAGTTTTTTCACGTTCTCAAGTTTTCCATGTTAAATCTTGGTGTGCTTTGGATTTTTTTCTGGAATTACTTGTCTATGTACTTCTATTCAAATATTTTGTTTTGGACCTCTCGAACCAGTGTTTCACACTTATCTTAACCTCTTTACAAGTTGTATTACAAGTGGTATCAGAGCGGGATTTTCTGAAGATCTTTGATTCTAGTGAAAGTAGTGACCGATGAAGCAATGTATATGATGGAGAACTTCAACGGTTCTAACTTTGCTTTTTGGAAAATACAAATTGAAAATTTATCATATAAAAAAACTGTATGTGCCATTAAAAGCAACCATCAAGAAGTTTAAATAAAGCAATCACCAAGAAGTTTAAAGAATTGACTCTGGAAGAATAGGAAGTGCTTGATCAAACAACACTTGGTTTAATCTGACTTTCATTTTCCTCATCTGTTGCTTTTAACATTGTGAATGAGAAAACTGCAGTAGATCTCATGGTTGTATTAACAAGGATGTATGAGAAGCCTTCCGTATCAAATAATGTTTTTCTTTTAAAGAGATTATTCAATATGAAATGGTAGATGGTAGTTCAGTGGTTGAGCACTCGAATAACTTGAATGCTATGACTAATTAATTGTGTTCTATGGGTATCAAGTTTGTTGGTAAGTTTATGACACTATTATTTCTATCTTCATTATAGACAGTTGGGATAGACTAGTCAAGACGGTAAATAACAATTCGGGTAATATGAAAATAAACCTTGATGGCATTGTGGGGTTAGTACTGATGAAGAATGTTGTGAGAAGGTGAGCTGTGAAACTTCAAATTCTATGTTGAATGTTGAAAATAAAATAAATTGGATAGGAACACAGGCAAAGACAGATACAAGGCCAAGAGAGGAAAGTCCTGGTCAGGGAAACAAAAAGGCAGAGGTGAATGTTGGAATTACGTGAAGAAATATTACTTTAAAAAGTACTGAAAAGCTCTGAATGAAGAATATCGCAACAAGGTGAGTCAAGAAACTTCAAATTCGGCATTGAATGTTGAAAACAAAGTAAATGGGATAAAAACACTGTCAAAGACCCAGATTCAAGGCCAAGAGAGGAAAGTTCTGGTTAGGGAAAGAAAAAGGCAAAGGTGACTGCTAGAACTGTGGGAAGAAACATCTCCACAGATGAAATCCAAGGTAAAACTTCAAATATCACTTTAAAAAGTACTGCAAAGCTCTTAAGAAGGTTGATGGTGGAGGCTCAGATAGAATGCTTTCTACAAATGTCTCCATAGATGAAATTCAAGGTGGCTCCATAATTTTGTCCTTTGATATTACTGAATCTTGTATAGTGGTTTTTCAAGCGTGCCCCAATGAAAAGTGTTTAACAAATAAAAGCTATACTGAAATTGATCTAGATAATGCGTATTTGGGAGATAATAAGGCTCAGAGTATTGTTGGAAATGGTGATGTGGATATCACATTTTCTAATGGAACTATCTGAATGCTCAATGAATTTCGGTATGTTCTATATTTAAAGAGAAATTTGATCTCGGTCAGCCAACTTGTAAGGTCAGGATATGTGATTATGTTCGTAGGTGATTCGTTAGAGTTGACCAGCGGAGCAAGAATGATGGCTCGAGACAGAATTAAAGACACTTTTGACTTGATCAATGAGATGTTTGAATTCATTGATGTAGTTGTAATAAAGATCGATGCATGTTTTTGGCATCATAGATTTGGCCATATTAGTGACAAATATATGAAGTCCCTGATTTCTAATAACAAATTTCATGGTTTAAAATCTATAGAGTTAGATTTTTGTGAAGATTGTTTCTGTGGCAATCAAAAGAAGATTATTTTCTTTAAAAGTGAGTCAAAGGTGGAGTCTAAAAAGCTGGAGTTAATGCTCACTGATGTATGAGGTCCTACTCCTGTTCAATCTATTGAAGGTATGAGTGTACTTGAAACACAACTATGATGTGTTTAAATAGTGAAAGGTCATGGTTGAGGATGAAAAAGGCCTCAGTTAAAGTATCTTAGATAAGATAATAGTGGTGAGTATATTAGTCAGAGTTTCAGCCTAATGTGCATCAGAAGGAATCAAACATGTGTTCACAGTTCTAAGGACACCACAACAAAATGTGTGGCTGAACAAATGAATTGGACCATCACAGACCGTGCAAGGAGTATAAGATTGCATGTAGACTTGCCAAAAAATTTTGGTCAACAACAGTGAATACTGCAGTTTATCTAATAAATTTTTATCCATTAGTACCTTTAAATGAAGGCTTACTTGAAGAAGTCTGGAATAATAAAGAGGCAAATCTATCTCGCATGCTTTGTTGTTCATTGTATGTTCATGTTGATGCAAAAGTCAGAAGTAAGTTAGATTCAAAATTAGTCAAGTACACTTTTTTGGGTATAACTCGGATGAATGTAGGTATAAATTTTGGCATTATCAAAATCATAAATTCATTAGAAGTAGAGATGTTTCTTTTAATAAAATGAAAATAGATAAGGACAGGAATTGAGTTAAGATTGTGCGGAATTCAGAATTGTTCATCAGTTACTTCTGAAGTTTTCAAATATATTGAGATAAAAGATATTGGGGATCTTGAAGATTGGGAGAGGAGGTGTGCTCAATCTGATGAAGCACAATAAGTTTCTCAATCATCTGTTGCCGAAGTCAGTAGGTCCAACAGAGTCACAAGACTGGTATGAAAGTATTTTCCTTATTTGTACTATCTTTTGTTAACTAATAAGTAGCCACTCAAGTTGAAGACTCAAGATAGTGGGAGTTTGCGATATATGATGAGATGCGGTCATTGAATTCAAATCAGACGAGATTTGATAGAACTACCATATGGCAAAAAGGCACTGCACAAGTGAATTTACAAGCTGAAAGAAGAGTTTTATTGTAGCAAACACTACATGGCAAAGCTTGTCGTGAAAAGTTTTCAGCAAAAGGAGCGGGATACTCAAAGATACTTTCTTCAAAAGTTAATAACTATTAGAGTTGTGTTGAGCTTAGTAGTAAAGAAAAAATTACATGTGGAGCAGATAAATGTGATGACAACTTTCTTGCATGGTGACTTGGAAGAAGAGTTGTATATGGTTCAACCACAGGGATATAAAGTTCATGGAAAATAATGAATGATCGGTAGATTGAACCAAGAGTCTTTATGAGTTGAAGCAGACACCATGATAATGGTACATGTGGTTTGACAGGTTTATGTCAGATAATGGGCACACGAAGTGCCATACAGATCGTTGTTGTTTCGTAAAAAATTTTGGTAGTTATTTTATCATTGTACTGTTGTTTATGGATGTCATGCTGATTTCAGGAGCAGATATGGAGAAGATCAGAGACTTGAAGGTGCAATTATTAAGAGAGTTTGAGATGAATGATTTATGTCTAACCATGAAGATCAGCGATATAATAATCGACAGATAAATGTTTATAAGGTCCTAACAGGTTCAACATGAGTGAGGTAAGACTAGTTTGCACCTCCTTAAGTAGTCATTCCAAACTATCTAAGGAAAAAGTTTGAAACAGAGCAAGCACAAATGAAAAGAACTTTATATGCTTGAGCAGTTAGAAGTTTGATGTATGTGATGATATGTATAAGACTAGATATTGCTAATCAGAGAAACATCATTGGGAGACGGTGAAGTGGATTCTTAGATATTTGAGAGGAGCAATCAACATGACATTTTGTTTTTTAAGTGTAGGAATTATTCTATAGGGATTTGTAGATTCAGATCTGGTAGAAGATATCGATGGTAGAAGAATTACGACAGGATATATCTTCATATTATGGACTGTAAGTTAGACTTTCAGGTTGTAGAAGATTGTTACACTTTCATCTACAAAAGTTGGGTACATTGTTACTACTGAGGCTAGCAAAAAATTGATTTAATTGCAGAGATTTATGGAAGAATTGGGTAAGCAACAGGGGATTGGAAAGTTTCATGTGACAGCATGAGTATTATTTATCTAGCCAAGAATATTATTTTTCGTGCTAGGACGAAGCACATTCAACTAAGGTATAATCTTTGGGGAAGACCCATTTGCACCCAACAATTTGCCTTCCCTCTTGGCAGATCAACTAACTATCGCTTGCCATTTTTTTCAAGAGCTTTCATCTCTTTAAGAATAACCTCTTATGAAATTTCAGAGCATCTTGCACAAATATTAGAAATTTTCATACTATATAATAGTGAGGTAAAAACACGAAAACGGGTGAGAAATTTTAGGATGATGAATGTTGAGTGGAAGACCTCACACCCTTACAAGCAAGAATGATAAGATTAGAATCATTAGACTTAGATTGAAACTAAACTTAGATTTAGGGCTAGAAGACTCAAAACTTGAAGATGAAAGTGGATTGAATATAAGATAAAGGCTCAATGAAGACATTACATGGATGGTTTGTGGATTCTGGGTAGTGCAAATAATTTATAAACCATTTCTTTTGAGTTGTTGTTTGGCGTGATAGATAATTTCAAATAGTATCAATGTTGTGTTTTTTTTCTCTCTTTTTATTCCTTATTAGTTGTATAGGATCATGAACATCATAAGATAATACTGTTTGAAGGCCCGAGTTATTTTTTAATATCTAAAAAATTTCACCTACTTTTTTCTGATATAATATAGTTTGGACTTTTCAGATTGAACAATCAAGGTTGGGGATATATTATTTTGTAAATCTTCTATTTGGAAAAGA